GTGGATCCAGTTTATGTCGATATTTGAGATTGTTTGAACGTCGACTAGAGACGTTAAACCTAGTTCTCATGGAGTTGCCAAACTCTATTTCTTCATTCTCTATCCCATCTTTCATTTTTGCATCATCTGAATAATGCTATGTCATGATCTCATTGAAGTTTTCCAGGCATGTTGTGAGTTTTCCAAAAATCTGCATTCATAAAGTTTTTTAGCCTGGGAAACTTCGATCGATCGAACTTAATTTCGATCGATGGAGTTGATGTTTCAATCGATCGAAATTAATTTCGATCGATTGGTTTTGCGTCGGAAATTTTTGCTCCTAAAACTTAGTTTTTCAGAGATTTTCAATCGATCATAGGATTTTCGATCGATCAAGGAAGGTTTTGATCGATCAAAAAAAATAATAATTTTCTGGCATTTTGTATATACTTGTTTTCATTAAATGAAAAATATTAAATAAATTCACCATTGTGCCCTTATATGTAGTCATGCTACTTTTATATATTTTTTTGGGCTTGATCCCATCTCTCTCTTTCATCTTGTGCTATATTGCCTTAGATTGCATGCCTTGGTTATTCTTATCCCATTTGATATTTGATGTCAGTTTGCTAGTGTGGTTATTTAAGTAGGTTGCTGATTCCAAGTTTGGGGGAGCCATCTTTTGACTTGGATCATTGATGGGTTTCATGTCTTTGCCACCACGGTATATTCATTCCATCTTTTCCATTGTTTTCATTGTACATTGAGGATAATGTGCGATTTAAGTTTGGGGGTAAGGTGACTTCGTTGCATTCTACTTAAGTTTGAGACTTAATTACAGACTTAATTACATGATTGAGATTTGGGATCCATTTGAGCTATAATTTTGATCTTTTGAGAACCATTATACTTAGAATTTAAAAATTGCTTGACTTGAGAGTCCAATACTCCTTGTATGCCTTGTGGATGCCATTTAGGAGTAAATTTTTCGAAAGATTGATATCTTGTTTGCATTTGTGGTCCACATTATCCTGATTTTGTGATTGTTTTAAAATTCATTCTAGGATTCTACACTAGCACAGGCGCACACTAGCATTCATTTACGGGGTACATGCTTTGTTGATTATTAAATTGGTTATATCCCAATTGGGTTAGTAGTGCATTGAAAGCTTTCATCTTGACAAAAGTGGATAACAAACCCTTTTCATTAAGTAGCCGGGATTCTAGCCTCACCAAGCACTGAATTTCTCGCGCCGAAAGGTGGAGGGCCCAAACTCTAGGTTAATAATTCTACTTGAAAAAAACAAAAAAAAAAAAATTTTGCAAAAGTAATAAAAAGTGAGAACTTCTCCCAAAAGATGAGGAGTGGGAAATGATTTGATAGAAGTTGTTTTGATTTGTAACCTAGTTGATTTGAGCTTATAAGTCCTTAGGGGTGTTTAAACACCTAATGTCCTAAAGCCGTCCGGTTTGAGAGTCATTGACCTAACGCTCGACCTCATGGATCGCTAGAAAGCTTAATAGATCAACACATTACACCATACTTCCATCTTTAATCCTTAGGATAGTTAAAAAAATAATAATAATAATAATAAATAAATAAATAAAAAATTCGAGTGAAAAGAATAAGCGCACCTAGTTAAATAAGCTTTAATAAAAGGTCCATTCTTTGTTTTGATGATCGGGACTAGATTTGTGTGCTAATTTAAGGGTAAGGATGTGATCATTTTTTTAGTTAGCTTAGATAGTAACATATTTGATGCCGGTTCACTTAAAAGGATTTTAGAGTTGTTTTGATTTGCATGATCATTTTCTTGATGTGTGGAGGACCATACTTGTTTGTTTGATGTTGAGATTTTGGTAGATTGCTTGGAAAGTGTTAAAAAATTGCATGCTTGAGGTAATTTTCTCCCAATGTTTGTTTTGTATATTGATGTCTCTCTTGTGAGAAAGAGCTTAATGTTTATGGGTATCATTTCTGAAAACCCTCATAAGACTTCACTCGTCCACTAAGGGTAACCTAGGGGTTTAAAAGGCTTGTTGCATATGCTAAATGCAATCATGTTCCCTACGAAAGTGGAGTTATCATTTTATTGCTTTCTAGTTCATAGTTACTTAGTTGTTTATTTCTTTCTTCTCCTTATAGTTCATTGCTAGGGACTAGCAATATCTAAGTTTGGGGGTGTGATGAGTGCTCAAATGTGACGCATTTTAGCACCTAAGTTAGGGTATTTTAGTCCATTCATCTATCTTACTTTCATATCTTAGATACTTATTTGTGTTATTGCCTATTTCAGGTGAATAATGTTCAAACAGGCTAATAAGAGCCATTTAGACCATTTTTGGAGTTAAGGAGCAAAGTTGGAAAGAAGCCAAGAAAATTGCATCAGGGGAACTTCGATCGATCGAAGGGAAGTTCCAATCGATCGAAGTGATCTTCAATCGATCGAAATGAAAGCGGTGCCAGCTCAACAAAGTGGATAAGGCCCGAAGATATTTTTGATGCCACGTCAGCTTCGATCGATCGAAGCTAAGTGTTTGATCGATCGAAAATCTTTGATCGATCGAAATGCCTGCTGGCAATAAGCTGTCTAATTCCCGAGCGCGCCGATTTCTACCTACCGTGCATAGCTGCAAATTTCCTCCGATCAGAGGCTATTATTTTGACTTGGTCCATAGTCAAAGAAGTGTGTAATTGATTTATTGAACATCATTGTAGTAGATGTTATTGTTATAATTACCAAATATAGAATAGATAGTTTTTCTCTCTAGAATTAGGGTTTTGAAGAAGAAATCAATGATGAAGATGATGATGCCAACCTCCAAGCTAGCCCTTGAGGGTTCTATGACCACTACAATGAGTGGCTAAATCCTTCTCTTGGGGCTAGAGATAGCCCCTAGGTTTGCTTTTTCAACCTAGCTTTTGTGTATTTTTGGGGATTTTAGTTGTAATAGATGTTTTGACCATGAATAAATATAGATCTTGTGATTTTTACTTGATTTGTATGGATTAATGTTTTCAATTGATCATTTAGCTCTAGTCATATGTCTATCTATGATAGAATTGATGTTCATATTTTTATCACTAGATTTAATGAATTTGATGCATTTCTGTGTGTATTGATGATGTTAATCTAGTGATGGTCAAGACATGGTACTTAATGGAACACTTTTGTGATTTATTTGATGGTTCACACTTGTTTCTTGATGAATTGTAACACATCTCTAGTTTAATTAGTTTAATTTCACGTCTCTAGCCTAGTTGTAGTGTAGATGCTTTAATTTCTTAGGTAGGTGAACAATCCATTCTTGTTTCTTGATGTTCCATACTTTTGAATGCAAAGAGTGTACATCTCTCGATATTTGTGTGTGCATTAGTTGTGGTTTAATTGAATGAAATCTTGGTCTCATTTGATAGGTTGTGCTATTCATTTAAATTGGTTAGACAATCTATACTTATTTGTCATCCATGCTTAGTTTCAATTGATGTCACACACACATACAAAGTTTCAATTTAAATTTCCCCATTAATATACAATTGCTAGTGTTTGATGAAGTGAAGCTTAGTGATAACTCTATGTCCCAAGACCTCTCTCCTATATCTTTTCCCTATTTTCTAAATTGCTCTCTTTTTACTTGTATTAATCTTTAATTGCATTATAGTTTAGTAATCAACTACCAATCAATCTTTGATCATTCGGCCCACTAATCCGACATTAATTTCCATCACAAATACACCTTCGATCCCTTAGGACGATCCCTACTCACCCTAGCTGTATTTTTAGTTAGAAGTGGTAGTGGCATTTCATAAATTTAAACTTGGCCACACTTTTGCAATTTGGTTGCTTCGACAAGCGACACACCAATGGTGGTCTTCCTTCCCCCACCTCTTCCCCTACCACTGGACCCTCTCCCTCTTCCTCTACCTGATGCAGGAATGCTTGGAAGCTTACTCCCTTCCTTGATTGGGTGCTTAGAAGTGGTTAAAGGTTCAACAAGGCCTTCATCCACTGTTAGTGGTTGCTTCCCTCTATGAACTTCAGCCCTATGGCTTAGAGCTTTCTCTAACTTAGCAATTTTGTCTCTGGCATAGTTCACATCTGGCATTAGCTAGAGATCTAGCAGGGGCCTCATCTAACATCTGTTTTGCCTGAGCTAAGGCTTTAGCTTCCTCAGCAGCTGCGTCCTATTCCCCTTCCTCAGTTCTTTCATGGATAGTAAAAAGGTTTGCTGGAGATTGCTTATCAGAGGGAGGGAGAAAATTTTTGGGACAAGACAAGTGATTCGGGGGCTGTGGAGAAGGGGGTGAGCTAGCCATGGAGACACTAGGCATTACAGGTTGTGGTGGTGACTGATGGTGATGATGGTGGTGGAGGTGGTGGGGGTGTCATGGTGGAGCACCATGTATATCTTGTGTTCTTGTGTATGATTGTTTTTTTTATTCTTCGTGATTGCTTGTGTTTATTAATTGAACAATGTTGTTTTTTACGTTTCCGCCACAATAACTGGTATCAGAGCATCCGGTTGATTGTGTAGCAACTCCAACACAATGGACTAAGAGGACATGATCGATCAATCTGTAATGAGGATGAACTTAATTAACAAAGCTGGTCTATGCGCAGAGCTTGAGACAATCTTGAAGGAACAAACATGCAAGAAGACTAACCAAAATCAATAGCAAGTTATTAAATTCCTCTGTGGAACATAATATATATGGAAAACAAAAGGCATAGATTGTTTCATTTATTGATTCAAGTGTGATACAGATTGTAAGAATGATCTTCTGAAGGAACAATCGGCTAAGAGGGCCGATCAAACTATAACGAGGATGAACTTAATCAACAAAGCTGGTCTATGTGCAGAGCTTGAGACAATCTTAAAGCAAGAAACATGCACGTAGACCAACCAAAATCAATAGCAAGTTATTAAATTCCTCTATGAAGCATGATCACTTTATGGAAAACAAACGACACTATAAGAGTAATATGCCATTCTAACACACTAGGATTGTGAAACTGCTCCTATTGTGGGAGCTTATTGAATTTGCGGTAGCGGTACTCAGCATATGTTTTGGTTGAATATTTTGCTGGGTTTTTCTCATCCACGAGCTCCGGTAGAGGTCCGATCATTGCTTCTTGTGGAGGCACACAAAACACAGCCCACGACATGCGTGTCCTTTCCTTGTTCACCAAACTCCTGTGAAGAACACTCTTGTACTTCCCATTGCTTAGTACCTGAAGCAAAATAGTTCCCAAGTTTGACACTCTAGTATCCCCGTCTATATTTGAATTTCATGACTGATGAAGTCAGTGTTTGAATGCAGATTAAGATGTTGCTTTATAAAATGTTCCTCTGCTTTACTAAAGCATCCAACTGCTGCGAGTGATTTCTATTTCATTGATATGTGCTGCAAGCCTGTTATTACTTTTCTATGCGTGCATTTTTTATTATTATTTTTTTAAAACAAACCTTTCCAACCTGTTGACCTTTCTTACACGATACTGCAAGGTAAACCCCTGATATATGCGTTTTAACTCCAGAGTATTAATTTATTTATTTTTGCTTTATTATTATTATTATTATTATTGGTCTTAAGCAGGAGGAGAGTATTTTTACCTCAATTTGATCTCCAACATGGACAAAGAGTGCATTTTGCAGATAGTTAACAGCAACCCAGTTACCATCCTTCCAAACCTGAAGGCCCGGAACGTCGTTCGGGACAAGTATTGTGAGCGCAGACATGTCAGTGTGAGGTTCAACTCCAAGAGCCAGGTGAGGTTGTGGGCATGGTGGGTACATGTTGATTTTCATTTCCAGTTCTATTTCTTCACCACAGAGGCAAGACTTGAGAACATTTTCTTCCAGACCCAATCCCTCTGACAGCAGCTCCAACAGCTTATTTGTTACTCCCACCATTTTTTCGTTGTATTTTTCTGTCACTTCTCTGTGTGTTACCATAATTCAACATGTTATAAGCCATTAACTAAGACCAAATATATGGGCTACTGATACCTTGTCATGACTCATAAAATTCAATTATTCTTTTGTTTTCATAAATTAAAAGAAATTAAATTTGAGTTCGAATTTGGTTCTCTGGAACTTAATTTAATTTCATGGGGCTATGGGAGAGAATTTAACAACAAATTTTTCAATTTTGAATATTACTCTACAAATGTTATTTAAAGGCTAAAATCAATCTCGAGTTATAAGGTGCCTTTATTGCACCCAATTCCTTTATTTATTATTTTTTTTTTTTACAACGATGGTGGAGTTATCAAGAGCTCCATAATTTACTATCGTACACGTGGTTGGTCCAAATAATGAAGATGTAACTCAAGTTTTTTAAGTTCCCTTGATTAATTAGCTAGAAAGAAAAAATTAAAAATAAAAATAAAAATTTTTTAAAATTTGATTCGATAGAAAGTGAAAATTTTGACGCATATAATACGAGGCCCAAGATCAATCTGATATCGGAGCTTAGCAGAAGTTGAAGACAAAAATTAAATTTTCCCCAAAATAATTAAACACATGAAAATTTTAGTTTTGAAAATAAGAATGGAATGGTCCAAAATTATATGATATGACTTTTAATTTCTCATAATATTTCAGGACGTATGTGAGCAGCTTGTTGCAGACGATTGAAACCACCATATATATTCTATATAAAATAGGGTAAAATGCAATAAACTTCCCTGGACTATTGGGGTTTTGCAACTAACCCCCCTAAATTACAAAAAATTCCCCTGAACTTTAATTTTGTTGCATATTACCCCATCAGGTCACCGGAAAAGATAAATGACATTTTTGCCCTTATTATGAAACGACACCGTTTGAAGTATTATCATATTAACTTGCTGATGTGGCAACAAAAATCACCGAAGAGATGACGTTCTTTCTTTTATGGGAAATCAGTGCCGCGAACGTGGTCTTCTCCTTGGTAACGACGAAAGACCGACATATCAGAGTAGCGGAGAAGGAAGAGGAAGAAGCGGTAACAGTGGCGATGGCAGCAAGTTTGTGGGGTTTGATTGGGTTTAATGGTGTGCGATTTAGCTTGAATTGTTTGAATTCCCAAATCGATGGAGAGGCCAGGTAGGTGATGGAGGTAGCGATGATGGTGGTCGGGGAGTGAGTTTTGTTGTTCAATTGGGTTTTACTATATGTGGTTTGGTCTTAATTATTTGAGTTTCTATGGGTTTAGGTGTGGTGGTGGGGTAGTGGCGGCAGCAGCAGTGGGTTTGTGGGGGTGGTGTCAGTGGAGAGAACAGGTAGGTGATGGAGGTAGCGGTGATGGTGGTAGCGGGAGTGAGTTTTGTTGTTCAATTGGGTTTTACTATACGTGATTTGGTCTTTAATTATTTGAGTTTCTATAGTTTAGGTGTGGTGGTGGTGTGGTGGTGGTGTGGTGGCGGCGGCGGCAGTGGGTTTGTGGGGGTGGTGTCAGAGTTTTGTTGTTCAATTGGGTTTTACTATATGTGGTTTGGTTTTAATTATTTGAGTTTTTATAGGTTTAGGTGTGGTGGTGGGGTGGTGGCGGCAGAGGAGACGGAATTGGCACAGTGCTACGGGGTGGCAACGAATCAGCTTTAAAATCGGCGACCAGGCAAATCGGTGAGACTACGGCGAATCACAAATCCACAGTCCGACAGTCACCATAGACAACGGCGATTGTCCGTTTCTACCTTTTTCGTTCACCGGCCATCGGAACAACAACGGATCTATTGAAGAAGCCCTAGCAGAACTTCACGGCGGTCTCGAAAGTCTCAGAGCTACGTCTCTCAGTCTTTTCCGGCCACCTTCCACGACGGCAGTTGTGGCATACGGTGGTCGCAGGTGTCACAAAGGGCGGCTTCGTCGGCGGAGCAGAAGACAGAGGCTTCATCTCTGTTACACACGTCGCACTGGATCTTCATTTGGCCGGTACGGTTGTTTGATCTAGATTGATTGTATGTTATGTAAACAGCAAAATGGGTTTAAGAGGTGAGAGAAAGGGAAGTCAGAGAGAGAGGCTTGCGACGATGTTTGGTGGGATGGAACGGTGGTGCTTGCAGCGGCTCTGAAATCAACAGTGAACGTTCTGGCCAACGCCCGGTGCTCCATCGAAGTAGTCATCGACCGGGGACTGGCAGAATCCAGCGACTTCGCACGTCGGGATGTTGAATTATAGTAAAGCCGGGCCTGCAAAAGGGCCTGTTGTGTAAAATTGTAGATGGGAATTTGGTTCACTGTTGGACTGACCAATGGGTTTTGGATTCTACTTATTTAAAGCCTAGTCCAAATCTGTTAGACACACCTTTGTAATATATATATATATATATATATATATATGTATAAATGTGTCTGTGTATAGATAGAAATGAAGGTTTGTGTGAATAACAGGAGCTGTTTGATTTGGGAAAATTTTTGATAAAGGCTTGTTTGGGTCTGTGTTCCATTTTACGGCCTTTAGGTCTACCGGTTGGAAGTCAAGGGCATTATTGTCATTTCATGCCTATATGGGTAATATGGTCATTTAAATTTAAGGAACCAATTTTAACGGTCATGTATCACCGGACATTGGACGGATGGGGTCATCTGCAGTAATTTTGCATAGTTTAGAGGATTTTTTGCATTTTTGAAAGTTCAGGGGGTTAGTTGCAGGTTTCTCAAAAGTCCAGGGAGTTTCTTGCATTTTACCCTATAAAATAACAATTGGAGTGGTATCATTATAATATTCCAATGTGATTTTTTCGATAAAATAAAAAGAAAAACTTCGAAGTAGTTTAGAGTTATAATATATATATATATATATATATAAGGTGATGGGTTAATTATGCATGAACAATAGAATGTTACTTTTGCATGATGGGTTAATTATGCATGAACAATAGAATGTTACTTTTGCATGATATATATATATATATATATATATATATATGGGTTAAATGCAAAAAACCCCCCTGAACTATTGGGGGTTTTGCAACTAACCCCCTTGAATTAAAAAAAAACCCCTAAACTATGAATTTGTTGCAATTTGCCCACTCAGGCCACCGGAAAAGTAAAAAGACGAAACTGCCCTTCCAAGTTTGTTATATACTCAATACAACCAAACCCGAAGCCACACACACTGCAGAAATGGAAGAAGTGGCGGCAGCACTGGTGGAGATCTCTTTGCAATTCGTCAACCGTGGATGTGGAACAGAGCATCGATCATCGTCGTAGCCGCCGAGCGAGAGAGAGAGGGGTGAAGGTGATGGCAGCCGGCGCGTGAGAGAGAGCTCGGCGGTGTGGGTTGTGGATATTTCGGCTGGTAGAAAGCTCGATGGTGTAGAACAGCGACTAGGGAAGTCGCGATTCTGGCACAAATCAGAGAATGGCACAGCGGCGACGGATCTGGCGTTGGCGACAACGGCTTTTGTGCGCCAGTGATTGATAGAACAGCGGGCAAGATGGGTTGTGGATGAACTTCGGCAGTGCTCGGATGGGGGCGAGACGGTGACGGCGAGCTTTCGCAGCGGTGGGCGACGGGTTGTGGAGAGGACTCAGCCGCAATGAGGTGCTTCACGGTGTGATGGCAGCAGCGAGCTTGCCTTCGGATGATGGTGGTGGTAGTGGAGCCACCACTAATGACGACTCATGGTGCAATTAATTTGGGGTGATTACCAGTGACGACTCGTGTGTATATCTATATATATATAAATATATCGATTGAGCTTTGGTGTTTCAGTACGAATTACTGTATTTGAATTGATTCAATTGGGAAATTGTTTGAGAAACGTTTATGGCTACGGCGGTGATGGCAGTGGCTGGACTGGTTCACTATGAATTATTTAAATTTTTTAAAATTGTGGTTCAATTGCTTCGAATGGTGGTGGCAGTGGGATTTTAGTGTGATTTGGGTTAAACGGCTTTCGGTGTGGAAGATGGGCTTGTCGGTGTTGAACCACGAACGCCTGCTGTTGAAGATGGTGAACAGTTATAGGGCGTGTTTGGGTATGCTATGGGGTCTATGGAAATTAAGGGCATTTTAGTCCTTTCATGCATATAAGGGCAGTATGGTCTTTTAAAATAAGTAAATTATTTTTAACGGCCAAAACTTGCCGGATTTTTGCCGGATGGAGTTATCTGAAACAAAATTGAATAGTTCAGGGGGTTAGTTGCAACTTTTGTAGTTTAGGGGGGTTAATTGCAACTTTGTCAATAGTTCAGGGGGGTTTTTTGCATTTAACCCTATATATATATATATAAGGTGATGGGTTAAATACGCATGAAAAATAGAATGTTACTTTTGCATGATAATTTTTAGCTTAGAGTGTTGCCATTTAGTATTTTTCTAAAGGCTTAAAAAATGATATATTTACTATTCCAACAAGAATATGAATATTTTATGAATAATTTAAGTAAACTGCCCGCCATTCTACATGCTATATATTATTGCTCCAAAGCAGGATCCGAAAACACAAAATAAAAAGACTTCGGTGTATTAAAATCGGGTTCTTCTTATGTTTTTTTTTTTTGGGTAAATGGGTTCTTCTTAATTTGTTCTGATGAGAGAGTTTTTTTTTTTAAAAAAAAATAATAATAATAAGAACAATTTAGATATGAATTATAAACAATAATATTATTATTTTTAATTACTCATTATATATTTCTTTGCTAAAAATAAATATAAATAGTTGAGTATAAAAAATTAAAAAAGAACAATTTAGATATGAATTTATAAACAATAATATTATTATTTTTTAATTACTCATCATATATTTCTTTGCTAAAAATAAATATAAATAGTTGATTATAAAATAAATAAATAAAATAAGAACAATTTAGATATGAATTATACACAATAATATTATTATTTTTAATTACTCATCATATATTTCTTTGCTAAAAATAAATATAAATAGTTGAGAATAAAAAGGATTTATCTAACACAAATTCATTTATTTTTTTAGTATTTAAAATCATAAGGGTAGTTTTGGTTAGTAAAATAATTTTATTTCCCCTTTCATGTTATTCAAACTAAAAAAATAATATTTTTCTACAACTTTCTTGAAATTTTTCCTACTAACCAAATACATACCCGAAATTGACTTAATTTTCCTTTTTTTCTTCTAATTGAAGAACCCCCACCCATACCAGTCCCGGGTGAGATTTAAGTTGCAGACTTGCGCAATGGAGGGGATTCGAACCTACACTCGGTATACTGAATACGGTTAGTCCAGACACTGAAGATCCACCTTACCATCCAATTATGCTTAGTGCTGGCTGGAGCCTTAGGCCCTAAGGCCCTAGCCAATAAGAAGGCGTCTAAAATTATTGTTTACTTATTGTGTTGTACTTTTTAAATTTTTATTTCCTTTTATTAGTAAGGTCCTAAAATTATTATTTCAATTTCCTAATATTTTTATTTTCCTCATAACATTAGACAACCCATCCAATAGGAAAGCCCTAAAATTATTGTTTTCTTATTTTATTAGACTTCTTAACATTTTTATTTCCTTGTATTATTAAGGCCCCTAAAATTATTATTTTATCTTCATAACAATTTTATTTTCTTATATTTATTAGATTCCAACTAATTGTAGTCATTAGTAAGGCCCCTAATATTATTATTATGATTATTATTATTATTTAACATTATGGTATATTATTAGACTTCTTCATTTCCTTATATATACTCCTCCAACCAATCATAGCAATTTAATGGTGGCTGAAAAGAATTTGATTCAGTCTAAAATTTTCATTCCATTTTCTATCAAAATTCATAATTCTATCCTTATCTAATTTTTTTCCTCTTCCCCTTCTTCCTAATTAAAAAAATTATACATAAGTAAAAGAAAAAAGTATTTTGACTTGATCCATAATGATAATCGAATTTGTAAGCAGTCCTACCGTCAAAGAGTTTCGTGTAAATAAATATTATTAACATATTAAAATATCACTTTTTAAATTTTTTTTTCCCCTAAAATTTCAAATTATATTGAGCAACCGCTATGTCAGCCGAGAACAAAAAAATTTAGGCAATATTTCCGCTGCAATAAGAGGGGAAACCAAGTCAAAACAATTTCACAAAAAATAAATAAATATATAAATAAAAAAGAGCAGTTATGACTACTTAATATGGTGAGTTGTAACAGCCATTCGTTACCTATAAAACTACTGCATCCTTAATGTGGTGAATTGTAATAAACTACTTACCAATTAAATAACCTCAAATTGCATCTTATTCCATCAGTTCTAGTGCTACATATGTATACGCATGTGTGTGTGTGTATATATATATATACATATATACATACCGGTAAGAAGGAGGATTCTTGGGCCATATATCATGGTTGACTTTAGGAGGAGGGTACATGATATGAAAAAAATAGTCAACCCATTCAACCTTTTCATCAAGGTTCTTAGTCATCTTTGTCCCATACCCATCAAACTTCCCATTAGAAGGATCATTCGCATAGCTCTCTTTCTCCTTCTGTGGGAGCTCAAAGAACTCCTCTCCCACCTCTTGCAGCCGTTGGATCAACCGCGACGCCACACCATGATCTGTGATGAGGAAAAATCCCCACTCACTACATGCCTTGGATATTTCGTCCACGAGCACATCGTGCGGCAAAGATAAAGAGATCACCGGCACGGTCATGCCCTCGACGGCCTTGGTGTTCTCCGGCCGCTCGTTGACCGGCCGGATGAACTGCTCAGGGAGCTCATGGAGGGCTCCATGGGCCAGTGCTTGAACTCTCTCTACCTCCATGTTTTTTTCTCTTTTGTTAGAAGTGTTGCAAACTTGTAAAAGTAATGAATCATGCATTAAAGCTAAGGTGGCATATATAGTATATATAGGACTCTACTAAGTATTTTTTATTTTTATTTTTATTTTTATTTTTATGTATTTTTAATTATTTATTTCTAATCAGCATATAACTGAGTTTATGAATGTGTATACGGTATTAGTTGTATCTGTAGCACACGTGATAATCTAACATTCCATGCATGTGTTTAGAATTAGTTGATTAATTGTTGCCACGTGGAATACGGTGGAACCCACCAATTTTTAATAAACATATGTGTAAAGCGAAACATAGGCCCACAGGCAATTGTTCCGGCTGTGAGTTGAGTGATTGGGGAGGTTAAGCAGGGCGAGCCAAATTATAATCAAAATTTAAATAATTTATAAATTAATTGTAATATAGTTTTATTTTTAATATTAGTTTTGATATATTTATTGAGAATATATAACTCACAAAATTAAAAAATATGCAACCGAAATAAATAGAGATGGGAGATTGATATGGAAAAGAAATTAAAACTCTTCGAGAAGTAGGTCTAGAATATTCTTCATATAAATAATATCTTGTGGGGTTGTTGTAGGATACTAATCTTTTTCAATCTATATACAAATTGTATGTATGTGTGTGTGTGTATATATATATATATTCTCTTCTGTATTCTCTATGTTTTTATTAGGTATGTCTTTAAAATTTAATGTAATTAAAAAATATCAAATCAATATACAATTATAAAAATATTATAGGTGAATTATGTAAATTAAAATTTTTATTCACCATAAAGAAATCATTAATTCATAGTTAAAATTTGTAATTTATAGTTTTAATTATTTAAAGATTTAATAGAAAGAATCTCCCAATAAGATGTATAGTAATTGAATTCAAGATATTAAGTTACATATTAGAGTTTGGATGCAATAATTATAAATTTTGCTATTTTTTCTTTTCTTTCTTTGCTTCTTATATTAAAAAATTACTTTTAAAGAAGTTAAATAAAGTTAACAAATAACAATCCACATAATTTAAGATAAAATTAAAAATTAAAATTTGTAAAGTATAATAATTTTTTAATAAAAAATATTAAAAATTATATTTTGAAAAAGTTAGATTCTAATAGGGTAAGTACTAATTAAATCAAAACGATGGACGGTATTGATGGAACAACAGGTCCAAGAATTCCTGCCACTCGATTTGCCTAAGATATTTTTTTGACCAGCTGCCAAGGACGTAATGGTAAAGGTGGTGAAGTAGACAATGTGAGACAAATCATTCATTTTCTTCCCAACAATGATGGTGCACCATGTTTGGTTGGATTGTTCATGTAGATGTAGTGCTACTTCTATTGGTGTGTTAGCCAGGTTAAAATAAAAAATAAAAAATTCTCAAGTCACGTGTTCAATTAATATGGTTGACCCGTAACTATTAAAAAGTGGGTTAATATGAACGGATTGATAGGTTATGAACTATTTTATCATCCCTAATAAAATCTACTCTTATAAGTCACTATTGGCTGATCGGCGATTACTAGCGATTTCGGCTTCATGCAAGCGAGTTGCAGCCTGCAATCCGAACTGAGGACGGATTTTTGGAGTTAGCTCACCATCGCGGGATCGCAACCCTTTGTCTCGGCCATTGTAGCACGTGTGTCGCCCAGGGCATAAGGGGCATGATGACTTGACGTCATCCTCACCTTCCTCCGGCTTATCACCGGCAGTCTGTTCAGGGTTCCAAAGATGGCAACTAAACACGAGGGTTGCGCTCGTTGCGGGACTTAACCCAACACCTTACAACACGAGCTGACGACAGCCATGCACCACCTATGTCCGCGTTCCCGAAGGCACCCCTCTTTCAAGAGGATTCGCGACATGTCAAACCCTGGTAAGGTTCTTCACTTTGCATCGAATTAAACCACATGCTCCACCGCTTGTGCAAGCCCCCGTCAATTCCTTCGAGTTTCATTCTTGTGAACGTACTCCCTAGGCGGGATACTTAACGCGTTAGCTACAGCACTGCACGGGTTGATACGCATAGCGCCTAGTATCCATCGTTTACGGCTAGGACTACTGGGGAACACAGTTTTTGATTCTCATATTGTGGAGGTAAAAAATCCCCTCCAATGAGAATAATCCACGTCATCATAAATATAAACATATCCTTGATAAGTTTATAAAGCCCACCTCGCTCAAACCCAAATTGAGTTTGATACTAGTCCAAGATCACTGTTCACAAGCCCAATACTATTGTTATATGACCTGCAGCCCTGTTGAAGCCCGAATTAAGAGATTATCAGCCCAACATATTAATATTTAACATTCGGTCCGTTACTCAAGTCCAGCCGGATCAAAGTATGTTCAGCCCAGTTACTCAAGAATGCACAAATCCTACCAGTTGAAGGATTTACCGTAGAAGGAAAATTCTGAGATAGGAAGTTCTGTACAAGGCAAGTTCTATGTATGGAAAATTAGACAATGGAAAGAACTCTATTAGTAAAGAATGTTTATATAGAAAGAATTGGAGGACAAGCAACGCGAGTCCTACCATAATTTTACAATCTTTTGTATATAAATAGAGACTTAGACCTCCAATAAAGAGATCAAGCAATTTACGCTTCTCTATACACTGTTCTTATTTATTTTTATTGTTTTTTGAGTGAGTTGTTTTATTTTTCTCAATCATTATTGGTTGAGCGAAATTTTGCACCTACACATATCTTCTGCGGTATACTTCACTAACTAGTCATCTAGTGTAACGGTAAGACGTTTGCCCATTTATTAAAAAATTTTAGTTCTTAGGTTATACTACATATCCACCCATTTATACCAGAGTGATTGGGGAGGTTAAGCGGGGCGGAGCCAAACTATAATCAAAATTTGAATAATTTATAAATTAATTGTAATATAATTTTTCTTTATAATATTAGTTTTGATATATTTATTGAGAATATATAACTCACAAAATAAAAAATATGCAACCGAAATAAATATAGATGGAAGATTGATATGGAAGCGAATTTAAACTCTACGAGAAGAGCAAACGGTAAGTTATACAATGTAAAAATAGAAACGATAAAAATAATAATAAAATAAAATAAAATATTTTAAAATTTTAATTTTTTTCCTGCAATTGTTTTATTTTTTTAAAAGAAATTCAATTTTTTAAATAAAAATAAAAATGAGTACTTTGATTCTACTTTGGTATAGAATACCATTATTACCTTAACGAAATATTTTATTTACAAAAGGTATTATTTTATAAACAAAATTTGGCAAACTTTAATAAAACATGATTATTATGAACAAAATAAAATACTTTAAAAATTTACAATGATTAATTATAGAATTTGTCATTTAACAAATGCCCCTAATATAAAATATCATTGTTATTATTTGCATTTTTGCCATTTTTTTTTTTTTTTACCATAACACTTTGCCGTTTGATAAAACTAAAAAATAAGTACTGAAAAATTTAAGAGTGATAATTTTAAATGTTTAGCATGTTCAACCAGTGATAAGTGATGACAATATCATTTAAAATTTTATCACATTTTAAGTAAATTTTAAATTGAGTTATCAAACATACTTAATTGGATAAACGTTTAATCACTTCAAAATTAAGCGCTGAATTGAATAATCAAACAGTACTTTAATTTTTTCACCTCTCCGGTGTTCCAAAGATTAAAAAATGGAGATTACCAAACAATAGAAGATGTTATTCTTGTAAACATCATCTAAAAAAAAACTATATTTAATAAAGAATGTTTATCTATCTTGAATTTATATTACGATTCTACAAATACTATATGAGGGTACTCTGTATTGATAGATATATATATGTATATATATAATAATGATATGTTAAGAAGTAGGTTTCACGTCATTGACCTCCAAGGCATTCAACAGAACTGAACATCACCCAGTCAAGGTTTTGGAACATAATCCAAACTACAATCTTAATGTCAAAAGAGGGATAACTTTTCCAAGTGGTAAAGGACAATATTTGCCTTCAACCCAAAATTTCCTTATTTGACCCAATCAAAACTCCAAAGTAATATAAAACTATATCAAATTAGAATCGGTTATCTAAGTCTCCCAAAAGATCTTATGAGACAAGTATTATCATAAAATTTAGGGTTAATTTAGTATTTATTTGTATAATTAACTAAAAGTAGTGAATGTAAAATTGTCTGGTGAATAGTGCTTTATCCCATGACAAAATTAGAAAACAATTTCAAAATTCATCAAGTTAAATTTTTGTAAAAAAACATCTTATTTTGATTAAGAAAAGGACTGAATTCAAGAGAAGTTTAAGTTTTTTTTTTTTTTTTTTTTTTTTCATTGATTCTCAAAAAGTATATATATTTCATATTGATCGTGAAAACTATTTTAAATAACAAAATAAAAAGAAAACTCAATTCGATATTCGAGAGAAACTCTTTATCTGTGCTCAAAAAGTACTTTATATTTGATCTTGTTCATGAAACTAATTCAAATAACAAAATAAAAAAGAAACTATCCTACCCACCAATATATATATATATATATGAAACCTTTTTATTAAGAAAAAAGAAAATTCAAAAAGTAACTATACCCGACCTTAAACATACATCACCTAGGTTTTACTTTGTTGAATAAATTTTTTAAAAAAATGATTAAGTTGTCAAAACTTATCACTAAAATGGAAGCGGAATGACTCCCTATTATCCCACATGTACAATTCGGTGAATGGGGAGCCATTTGGCTCCCATTCGGTCATAAAATTCATTATGCTTATCACGATTTTAGATTCATTGAATTATATGTTGAAAATTCAGTGGATTATTTATTGAAAATATAATTAAATAGACTAATGTTTATACCTCTCTCCCCTCAAAGCCTCAAAGGGGAGTGGAGGGTTTCTCAATAATATGTGTGATTATTTATCTTAATTATTATTTTATTGATAAAGATTACTTATCTTAAATAATAATGATATTTAAATGGCGGGTGACCCACTGACGGCTGACAAATGTCCATACTCAACTGGATTGTCATCGTTCAGTCCATTCTCATATGAGTACCTTAAAAGTTAAAAGAGGCCCAAAAAGCTCCTATCCCAGGCTTAGCTACGCTTGAGGGTGGGGAGTGGAGACAAGCACAAGTTGTTTCGTGCATACCCTTCCCAATTACATGGATTTTGGCTTAAATTTTTT